TATATATATATATATATATATCTTTTTATACTTCTTGTACTGATAAATATCTATCTTACAGAAATTAATGGTTTTGCTGTCGACATGTATGGTGATGTGACACCTATTGAAATCATTTCTTCCGTTGGTTCGTTATGGAATTTTGGACCTGGTCATCAAGATGCTCATGAGCTGTTCCATGTAGTTCTTAGCGCATTAGATGCTGAAATGCAACCTGCAAATAGAGTATGTGAATCTGCTGGATGGTTAAAAATCATTCCAGCACAAAACTGTCTACAACATAATGTGTTCCACAATGATAGTTAAAGTTGCAAAACAGTGAAAAAAAAATTCTATTTGTTTCTCCAAGATTTTTATAATTAATTAATAAAAAATTAGCTCTTACATGATTCGACGATTATTCATTAACTGTTGCGCTTTCAGAAAGGCTGTTTGTCTGACGCGCTGCCGCCAAGTCCGAATATGGAGTTAAATATGAGAGGAGTGGCTGATAATCTTGAGTCTCAGATTCTAAATCTCAGAAGCGCATCATGCAACGATATTGCATCAGTGAAAAACGGCATTGATACTCCAAAGGGCTTCGACAAGAATTGCAACAATCAAATGATGACCTCGACTTCGTCCATATCGAGCATGTCTCCGAGCATCGGGTGCAGACCCGGTATGATCCTCGCCAGATCCTCGGAATTGCTGTCGCGAAGTGCTCAAAACAATGGCGACTGTAAGAGTCCCTTCAGGTCATGGAAGTCTCTATGCACCATGCCCTTTGTCAACATTCCGTCGGTCTCGGTAGAGATGCATCCGTTCTCGGGTCTGATCACCAGCCAAGTTCAGTGTAGTGGCTGTTCCTGGAAGGTAATTAACACAAAAGTGAAAGATAATACCAATTTTTCTCATATAACTAATTTCTCTCGAAAATAATTTCCTTTGTGCACACAATTTTTCCTTCAAATTTCAATTATCGAATCAAACATTTATCAATAATATGTACTAGATTTTAATATCAATCTGATTTTTTTTTT